GATGGTGAGGGTGAACACATTTTTCTTCTGGCTAAATCTTCTTTGCGCATAAGTACAGTACTGCTGACTGGGTGTAAACAGTTTCTCAATGCATCTGTGTGTTGTGCACAATTCTCCTTCAGCATTCAGTGTGTGAGCACAGAGATGGATTGTGTGGCTAGAGTGTGGCCATCCTGAAGGGGGCGGCAGGCTGAGGGGGCTCAGTCATAGTTATAAGTCCTGTGTTAGTGGAACAATGGCTGGAGCTTACAGCTGTCCCTGCCACGTATAGCACTGGACTCCCTCATTCCTCTGATGCACTGTGGGGGTTTACTTGAGGAAAAAAAAGCCTTAAGGCATTTTAAAAATGTTGTTCATTGTGTCATGGCTATATTCCATATTGTACAGTGAAACCTCAGAAAATCAGTCCAATTCTTGGTTTTTCGCTCTCGTAAAATAAGAACAGCAGGGGAGCTTAATTTTACTGTCTGAAAAAGTTTTTTTTTCTTGTAATTAAAGAAGTATTTTTAGTCTGAGAGAAGTGCTGAACTTTGTTAGAATCTCTAAACATGTTTAGGCAAATGGGATTTATTTATTTATTTTTACATTGGATTTCTTATTGTCTAACCCCATGAAAAGACCAAAACTAACAAGGATTGTTTGTGTGATTTACTGTAGTTTACTCCTCTGTGATTAGACCTCGACTGTTGCCCAAAGATTATTAAAAATAGATTAAAAAGCCACACTGTAGCATTGGATGAAATGTTCCTTTATTACCATGAAATGGCCGCTGCAGCTTATTTTGTGTCAATCCAACCAACACTGTCCCAGGGCCATAAATAGTTACTAGTGTGTACTAATCCACAGTTGGAAATGGACCCCACAAAGCATTATTTACTCCTGTTTGAGTAACATTTGCTTAAAACTAAAGCTTTTTTAAAATAAAATTACACTATATAGGTACTTAGAAAAAAGTAATGAACCTGGAGAAGCAAGAATATAGAGAGATAAATTAACATTACTTTTGGCTTTTCATAGAATTTATTGATAGTAAGAAAAATATCCTTTAGTTTTCTGAACTACATTTTTTTTTGTTGAATGCTGTGATTCTGTTATTATACAGGACATCAGAGCTGCAAATTAAACCAACCAAAAATATAAGTAGACTGATCATCTGCAGGGAAATGTAGCCTGACTTTATTTTGAAGTGAATCTATGCATTCTGATTTCTTCTCTCAGATTGGAGAGACATTTCATCAAACCCTTGCGGCGGCTAAGTGAATAGGGAAGGATATTTGCCTGTTTTCCTATTGGCTGTTTTGACAGCAGACAGCTTCTAAGTAGGTCAGGGAACATGAGAGGATTTACTGAGCACTCATGGGAGACCCTCTAAGACACTGCAACTGCAGCCCAGAAAATAATGCAATAGCAATCATATCGGCTCAGAATCGCTCTATCCTTGGGTTAGGCCAAGGTTAGATGAATGAGGATTATAATAAGTTACCAACGCATCTCTCATCTCTTTTGAAGTCGCGCCAGGCGTGTTTGCAGTTGCAGCTACCACATCTGAAGTCACCTGCTGCATGGCTGTGCATGTGTGAGATGAGTGCAGACTTCCGGATGTTTTTCTTGTTGTTCAGCTGGGAAACTACTAACATCATCATACTCTAACTCTGTTTCTCAGACCTTACCGATAACACATTCCTTTCCATGATGTAAACCACATCTCTTTCATATTGCTTGAGTTTCTTGTTGTTCAGCTGGGAAACTACTAATATTATCAAGACTAAAAGACTAAAGTTATGAGTTGCTTCTCCTTACATCATTGGGAATAAGAAGCTCCTGAGATGTCTGGGAGTTTGAGTCCATCCCTGATGAGAGAAAATATAAGCATTAACTGAATGAAATTGACATATCAGGCATTTTAATATTCATTCATCTCTTTTATTCAGCCACATAAACCACCACTGACATGCTGAAAAAAAGCCCTTACAGCAGAAAACTGCCAGATACAGTCAAGCAGCTAATTTCCATTTTAATAGACTGATGTTTAACTCTCATTCTTTTCCTTCTCCCAGTTCTCTGACTCTGTGGAACGTATCATTTCATAGAACAGTTTCTCTCTAAGACCGAGAGACATGAGAAAACATTCAAGTTTCTCCTCCTTCTTTACTGACACAAGCACATAATCAGTACAGAAAATGACAGCAAGCCTTTACTTCTCACATCTAAAGTGTAGTGTTACAGATGGAGGAGCAATGCACAGACAAACTCTGCAAGCTGCTTATTTAAAAAAATAATGTAACTATTCATGATTAGAGTAATTTATCTCAGAGCAAATACTGACCAGGTATGATAGTTGAAGCAGGCTGGGCAATGGGACTCAGGCCTTGCTGCAATGACAGCTGATGTAGCTTGGCCAGCTGTGAAACAAAAAGGAAAAACTTGATTCAGCATACAAGAAACCATAAACTGCTCATGTTATATTCAATCATAATATATCTACAGATGGTCATACCTCTGAGTGTGGAATGCCATACTGGTTTTGCAAAGTGTAAGCCTAAAAGAGAGTATCCTGCATTAGTTAAATTGGAGCAGTAAAATCTCACACAAAGGCAATAAATCTGCAGCCATTTAATGTAAGTGCTTCACGGTCAATACGTGCCAGTTTTTAAGAATAAGTGAAATGCATGTTAATAGTTCAGCTTTCAGTCATGTAACCAACTAAACATGTTTTATACCAAACAACAACAAAAATAAAAATAACACTTTCTTCTTGTGGTCTCCTCCACTGCAGGTACCACACGTTGATTTTATTTGTCTGCGTTTTGAAATATATCTCTGAGATTTCTGCCTTCACCCACCCTGATTCAATGGGAGGTCACTGGGATTTTTCTTGGCATGCCCACAGCACTGATGACATATAAAAGATTCAACAGGTTCATCTCTGTCTGGAAACGGTGTCTCTGATGCTCTGAATAATACTCACACCCCAATGTGAAAAGATTTTGCTTTATGTCTAAAAAACAATATAAGAGTAACTCTCAAAGTCAACCCGAAGTGTTTTTCCGTAATCTGTTTCTCTTTGCTTTGTTATAACCAAAACATATACATAATATTTAATGTCTTATGTGGAACCACTCTGGTTTTCTGTTCCTGGGGTAAGTGTATTCACTTCTGGTTTACTGTGTTTGCACCATGTTGTGCTTACTAGAAGGTTGTTTATGGATCAAGCTCACTGGTTTCTAGGTTTATCTGAACATCAGCTATTATTTGAGTCACAACATAGGCCTGCACTACTTAAGCACCTGTGTTACAGAATTTCTTGCTCATTTCCAAAATTACTTGGATACTTTAGGTCAACTAGCCTAGAAGCTAGCTAAGCTAGTAGCTTGGTTGAGAGAAATGGTTTCCCCCTCTTCCTTTTGCTGGGTGTGTCCCATGTTCAGTTATTCCTCTGCCTCATTTAGCGATAATGGTATTTGTAATAAATGTCAGATCAAACTGGAAGTGCAGCTCCGCAGCATGGAAAACAGCCCAGCTATCCAGGTCCATGTAACCGGCGCAGGCCCTCCAAGACGTAGCTTAGACCAAGCCAGGTGGCTGGGTGACAGTTCGTAAGAGTTATAGCTCAAAACAAATGCTCATGGTTCATCGCCTGCCTGTTCATGTTTCAGATTGGTTTTCCCCAATCAGCGACACATTTGCCCGCTAAGAAACTAACTGGTAAATGGCGACTCCATAGTCAGAAACGTGAAGTTAGAGTCACCAGCAGCCGTTTTTCCTATCCACTGTCACCAAGTGCTTGCTCAAGGGGGATTTATTTGGCTTTTTCTATAATATTACTAATAGTAAGGTCTAGACCTTACTATGTAAAGTGCCCTGAGATGACTTTTCTTGTGATTTGGTGCAATACAAATAAAATTAAAATAAATTGAAACTGAATTATGTCTTCTGTGTCCTATGGATGAACAAGTACTGTTTATATGTTTTTACTGTATGTGTCAAAAGGTCATTTACAGAAAAAGAAGTGTAACAATAATCATGCTACATGGTGACGTTTGTTTTTTTAGACCCCATAGAGGTATACTGTAACTCCCTAAAAATAGAGCTAAAACTCCAGTAACAAAAATCCAGAGACATACTGCAGAGGTAAAGCAAATGAGTTATATTTTACTATATTCTACAGCTATTTTTATTTATTTGCAATTAAGTGGTGTGTATGTTTTGAGGTATCAGTTTGATAAAAGAATGTAAAGTATGTCATTTAGGCTGTTAAAAAGGATGCAGGGCCCACAGCACACTGAACTGAACATTATGATTTAAAGATATTTTTCAGTGGTGTGAACAGCATAAACAGAATTCCTTTTACCTCTATTTTGAAATGGTAAACACCTTATAGCCCAAATATCTCAAAACTAGGGCAAAGAAAGTAAATAAAACTATATGCATGGCTATATATCAGTCAAAGTGAAAAACATATTTTATTTTATTTCTGTATATTGTGTGAATTGACCCTTTGCTAAAAGCATGCATTACCAGTTGTGGGCTGTAGCAGAATAATTATGGAATCCTGCATGCTGCAATGAAATTCACTGTGCAAGCTGCTGAAAATGTTTGTCTTTGTTTATGTTTATACAGTGTTCATTCTCATTTTTTCTCATCTTCACTTGTGCCTGCAGTATCACCCATCCCCTCATTATTATAAATAATGCAGACTCTCATGTATTAATCCCATTTTCCCATACTCCACCCATGAGTACCTACTGTAATTAGTGAGGGCGGTGTCGGTGTAGTCCTCCTTAATTATGGTCTTAGCAGGCAGCACTTAGCTATAATCAATTCTGACCGACAGCAGCAATCTGATTACTACTGCTAGTCCATCCTATATGACTATAAACTGGAGAGGAGCACTCAGTAGATTAGAGCTGTGTTTATATAGCAATACACACAAGTACCACAAATTAGTAGCATTAAGCCTGACATTTACAGCATGAGCGAGTTCAGTTGTGAACTCTTATATTTCATTACCCACATTTAGAGTTTTTTCTTTTTCAATCTAGGCCTCATTTATCAGAGGTTAATCCCCTCTGGTACTATGACAGTATCTGCCATCGCTGTCATGAGAGGAATATCCCTAAAGCCAAAATGTTTCTGGTGCACAGCTAGTCAGGCCTAAAAAAGAGACGGTGGGGCTGTGGTGATGGCATCATGTTTCAGGAGGGTTATAGCTCTTATGACAGGCTAGAACAATAGCTGCAGCTTACGCTCAGCTGTTGTTTTTAATGCCTTATGCCAGATGGACTGTATAAATTTGGACATAGCACACAACCCCTGCTCTCACTCACTACTCAGATCCTCCCCCTGAAACTCATTTCTGTGCCCCACAATGAAGTATAAGATCAGTGTTTGAGATGGCAAGCTGATTTCTGGAGAGATTTTTATACTCATAAAAATAATGCTCAAAGAATGATAGCCCAGTTACCTGCTGAAGGTCTAGGCCACCCTGGGTGACTGAGTACAGAGGGTGTGGTGCAAATTCTGATGCCTCAAACACCTGAACAACACACGAGAGAAGCACAGTGTGAAATTATGTAGCTTATTACTGAAATGTCTTTCTGTTTACAAAGCCTGGACAGTCATTAGTTTTGCAGTGGAAGCTATGATTAGCATGAGACAATACGTTCTTACCACCTGAAACCTTCCATAGTAAAACTGATGTAAAAAATAATGAATGCAAGTTCATTTTTATGGGCTGTTGTTACATATCAAATTTGGTCTGAGATGGACTCCCGAGGCAGCATTTCTGACACGTTAACACACCCAACATGTTTATAGGATATGACTCATCTGCAGACCCTTTCCCATTCCACTTCATATCTCCTCTGACAAATTATACCAACATTTTTTATCACATCCTGCAACCTCATTAAAGTTGTCTCCCAGTGACAAGGACCTTGCCCCAGGTTTAATTTGATATCTTATTATGAGGAATATAAAAAAAAAAGAAAAGCAAAGCCATTCCAGAAATTGACCGGAGTCTGAGGCAGCACAAACTGTGTCAGAACTGCTGACAGCTATGCAAAATATCTGGCTGCTAGAGCCAGAGGAGACGACAGGTCTCCAATCTCACTTGCTAATCTTGTGACTTGGTCCATGGTAGGATGGATATCTGTCCTTTCTCAAACAGCAGCATCTATAACGCACACACACAGACAAACAAACCACTCAGCCCCCCACTGAGGAGCATCAACATGAGTCTTGTTTCAACACAAGCATTAGTCAGTATTCCAGTGAATGATTCGATTATGGTAATTCAGTAGTTCTGACATTTTAGCTGTTGGTCAATCCACCACTTTGGTCCACAGCAAAATATCTCTACAACAAGTGAATGGATTGCCATTAAATTTTGTACAGAAAAAGCATGAATCCCAGTGTCTTGATGAATCCCCTGACTATTCATTGAATATCAGAGCAGATCAAAAAAAATTCTCTTATTCTCTTATGCTAGTGCCACCATGAGGGTGTTATTTGTAGTTCTCAACAAATGTTGGATGTTATAATTTAGTACAAACATCCATGTTTCCCTCAGGATGAATTGCAATAACTCTGGTAAGCCATTAACGTTTTTATTTAGCACCAACACCTGGTTAAAATTTTGATTTACTCAACTGTCATTTAATACCAAATGCCTTCAAAAGTAAGAACTGGCTTATGCTAGAAAATATGTAGCTTGTAAAACATGCTGTCAAATCTCATTGAAATGAATGAAAAAATAAAGCCAGACATGAGTTCAAACCCTGCTTACTTTCTCAGCATGTCTCCTTTCACGTTCACATGAGTTTATATTATATGTAAAGTTAATTTTTCTCAAACTGCCACAAGAATCCATCAGCATAAAAAAATCACCCTGCACTTTGACAATCACTGTGGTACTATTCAACCTGTGTAGTAAAATCTCTCTCTCACCTGGTTCCCTGCGATAAGAAGGGCAGCTGGTGAGGGGCTTGGTCGATAGGGGATGGTGGCACCCTTTGGAGGAGACTAAAACGTTTTAAAAAACAGGGCAAAGGGTGAGAGTTTATAATAAATCCTTTATCACAATTCTCACAGACATGAATAAACTATACATCTGCAAGTGCAAATAGTGTTAAACTTCCACAACATTAAGATTAAATGACAATTAATGGTGAACTAAACTGTGAAGCCATATTATTGCCTTGTTTGGTTTTCTTTTGGTAACATTATTCATTCACTGAATAATTGGAACCGTGTAGTGAGAACTCTATAGATATTAGCTGTGAGCTTTAGTTTGTATCAGACCTCAAGGCTGTGCAATGATTTGCCCTCTGGATAAATCAAGCATCCATTGATAGTGAAGCATTCAAAGATAAAATTCTTCAAATACCAATAGGTAAAGGATTAAACAGTGTACATGACACTTTATATCTTATCGAGCAACTGCGGTGTTGGTGATACAGTTTAAAATAGTTTCAAATGTAGAGCATCTTTTCTGTGGGAGCAGTCACAGCAAATTCTTTGTATGACTTTGCATCATTTAAATCTTGGAGCCAAAAGCAAGAAGCCGCTGGTACAGAATCCTAATGAAACTTGCAAGCCTTTGAAGAAAGCCTTGGAAAACTGGATCAAACTAGTAATTAGTCAGTCAGGTCCAGCTGCATTGCTAAAACAAAAAGGACTTGTGTACTTCCACGAACACACAGGGGGAAACTGTGCTTTGGGTTGTTTTTGTCTCTTGTCCTCCTTGATGTTCTCAAGAGAGCTGTTGTCTAAAGGTGGACAGATTTTGCTGCAGGCCAGTTTGTTTTCATTTAGTGTCTAAGCCCTGACCTGAGAGTTGCACCTTTTGACTCTATCCGATGTCTGCTGTCTGCAGATTACAACACAGAAAGTCCAAGTAATAAAGAATTTGCACTGCTTGCGTTGTATTTCCTGTGCTCTAGACGAGGGTAACACTGAAGAATCTGATTAGCAGCACTCTGAATGTAGTCATCTTCCAAGCAACACCGTGACAGGTAGTATTACTGTATGTACCAAGGGTGACTAACACAGCCCACTAGAAACGCAGTCATTTCTCCTGCAGAGGAATAGATATTAAGTGCATGATGATATAATGAAAGCATGCGTGTCAACAGCAGCAGTGACAGAGCTATGACATAATGTCAGCTAGATGTGGAATAAAAGAGAGGAGTAGTATTCCTACCTCCAGGATTACTGTGCAGATGAGCTTGACACACTGGATTACCGATTCCTGATTTCCAGATATCGTCACCCCTCGTTCAGTAGAGTTGGGCAGCAAATCCCCTGCCACCTGTATCTGAGCTCCGGTGCTCTGCAAATGATATGGTTTAAAAAAAAAAATTTTGTTTGATTTTGGAGCTAAGAGGTGCCATGATTAAACTGCCATGGCCTCTTTCTGTGCCTCCCTGCTGACTTTGCTGACCTCATATTTTTCCTCTTATTGTGATGAAGACCTTCTGTGCTATAGTATTTGAAAGTCCTGTCAGGTTTAAAATAAATGAAAAGGCGCCCACAATAAGAAGATATCATTCTCTTCATTTTAACTTATACATCTCTAAATTAACATGCCTGCCGGCAAGGAGTAAATCCTCTCATGTTTTATCTAAATTTGCTGATGTCTCCATTGGACTGTATTTGGAGGCCATTGTTGAGCCTCACAACTCTCAAAATGCTTCTGCAAATGAGTATGCATATTGTGGAAACCAAACAAACAAACCAGAGGTGAGTAAAAAACACTCAAATAAAGATAAAGATGAGGATCTGACATATGTTTAACCAAAGTAGATGATTACACAATGAAAAAGGCATAGCCAGAACATCTTCTTAAATGCTGTTATGTGATAGGTTGAACCAAATAAAAGGAAACTTCTTGTTCATTTGGATGTGACACCCCTCTTCTTTTTTTGTGCCAATCAAACAAAACAGATCTGCAACTGCAACAATTTTAGCTATGAACAAGATAAAGAAAATCAGTCTAACTGCAGAAAATCAAGTGGATGCTAGTACAGTTGAGGGTAAAGGCTAAAATGAGAGAGTGGCACAGAGCTAAAGTTACAGAGTCAGATATCTCTGGCAGCAGATCTGATACATTTAATCCTAATGTTTCAACTAGGCCGAAATGTAGTCAGGAGACTTTCCATTTCAGCTCCCATTGCTGAGTCATACTTTACATTGTATTAAGGGATCTATGTGGGCTGTATTGTCTCAATAATTTCCTATCTTAATGATCCAAATACAACTTTTTCTTGCACCAGCTTAAGTGGAGATAAACTGCATCTGCTACAATGAATATTTTTGCATGGTTTTACCTCTAATGTAAAACTAATACAAAGCCAGTGGCAGCTCCATTAGCCTCAGCTGTAGGCCTGCTTTGTGTTTAGTGCTAATTAGCAAATGTTAGCATGTAACACTCTAAAATAAGTCAAGTCAAGTCAGATTATTTAAAAAGCACATTTAAGAGTGGCTTTGTGCTAGACTTGTGTTTTGGCTGCTCACCTCTCTGATCTCCTTTATCTTGGCCCCTCCCTTCCCAATGAGAGAGCCACACTGGCTGGCAGGGATGACCAGCCGCAGGGTGACTGGTGGCTTGGAGCTGATGGTGCCGTTGGCCACCAGTGCAGTCAGGTCCTAGAGGAAGATACAGGAAAAGAAAAAATGTGGTGGGAGTCAGGAGGAAAGAAAGTGGGAGAGTGAACCCCAGAAGAAAAGATCCGACAGAAGGGGTCAAAGTGGAACTGGAGGGTGTTAACTCCAACAGGGAGGACTAAACAGGCATTGAATCCGAGTCAAGCACATTTTATTTCCCTATTTGGGCATTCACATGAATCAAAACACACTTTCAGTTTCAGTTAATTAAGCCCTTACTCGTTAAGTAACTTGACTGAATGTTTTGATATTAAACAGTAAAAACCAAGTAAAATTAAAATCTCCCCAATTATGTCATGTCATTATTAGCCATGTTCACTGCTTATTAGCATATACTATACTCAATATTCACAATTTGTTTTGAACAATCATAGCACAGCCAAACTCTTTTTTCCCCCAATACATACATGTAATAGATCCCTGGGATAGAAGTGGCAGGTGGAGTTTTGGGTGGGAGGCAGGGACCAAAGAGCAATCAAGCATCTGCACATAATTAACCTTTGCCTCTGTGTGTGGATGTTCCAGTATGTCCATGTGAGGCTGGCCAACTGATACTATACAGCATGTTCTCTAGTCCGGTGTGGGCTCTGCTAGGATGTTTAATCATTTATATGGACTAAGAAAGGTGAAACATTAATTGCAATACTGGTGGTGAGAAACTCATGCTCTGAGTTTTTTCACTTTGCAACATAAAACTGAGCCAGAGCACATTGCTCACTTGTCCTTCATCCTGCCAGCATATTGAATCTGGTCACGATGGGATTTTTTTCTAGAGATCATTTGAAAAGAAAAGAAAGAACATATGTTTTCATTTTTGTGGGCTTACTGTATTTAAAGGCTACAGGAACCAGTTTTCATTTACTAACAATTTTCTCTTAGAATTCAAGAAACTGCCATGCAATGAGATTCAATTAAAAGTAATAGGTTAACAGTCATTTTTGGGATATAACCTTATTCATTTCTTGCTGAGAGTTAGTTGAGAAGATCAATGCCACTCTCATGTCACATTACATTAAATATAGAGCTACAGCAACTACAGGTTAGCTTAGCTTAGCTTGAAGACTGGAAATTTGGGGACAAAACAGGTCCAAAGGTAATAAAATCTGCCTACCAGCTCTCTAACACTCACTCATTAACACACCTTGTGGTTGTCGTGGTTGGTGATGGTCAGCAGATTTTCTTTTTTTTTTTTTTTTGGATAAAGCCAGGCAATCTGCTAACCTCTGCTTTCAGTTTAAATATTAAGCCAACTGTCTCTTGGCTTCAGCTTCATATTTAAAGGACAGATATGAGTGTGGTGTCAATATTCTCATCCAGCCCTCGGCAAGAAGGAGAGTAATGGCAAACTATTTCTTTAAAACTGTCAAGCGCAATGGCACAGTAAGGGAAATTTATAAGTGCATGGAAAAATTTTATGACAAACCCTTTTAAATGCCTAACGTTTTAAACAGTTGTTGCAGCCCAACAATACAAAGATATATTACCTTAAGGAAACAATATTTAAGGTCCCTCTCCTGTTTGCAGGTGTTTCACTTTGTTATTTAATATTCTCTGTGCAAATTGGTGCATGTGCAGAGTTTACAAATTCATTTACTGACATTTTCAGACAATAAATAACAGTCAAAGAAAGAATGGCTGCAGAAAATACAGTATCTACATTGTCTGTGTATGTTGTAGATGTTTATCAGTTTAGACAAATAGGAGCCTCACTGATTCAAAGCGTTTTCTTACAGTGCAGGCAGCAAAAACCCATCTGCTCTGCAGTGGGTGGAGACTGAGCTTTTAATTAATGAACAGTGTCTCTCTTTGAACCTTTGAAATGTAAATACACTGTGCTGTCTCTCTTCTCATCAGAGTTCAACTCAACAAATGTGTGACCACATGCAAACACACACTGCTGCTTGTTTGGAACGGTTTCTTTTGAGGCCAGTTTGCCATAAAATTTGCAGAGCTTGACTTAAGAGAGGACAGCGAGTAGCCTCACGGAATTTTAATTATTAAGAAAACTGCATAATGTTTCCAGTAACTGTGAGCTTTAAGTGTGAAAAGCGTATTTTGATGTGGCTCTTGTGCCTCTCTTCTTCGTGTCTATATTTAGTGAGGCGTACCAGGCTCGCTGACGTCTTGTCTCATTAGAAGAGGAGCACACAGCTTGTCTGTACAATCACAAGACTCTGGGCGTCATTTTCTTCATTTGATCTAAAAATATGAGCCACATCTTAACAACCGTGAACGTTCCCATACTTTGTTGTTCCATCCCAGCAAAAAGAAACACTTGAAGCAAAATGGCGGGTATAAGACAGCAGGTTACACAAGCACAAGCACAAGCACAAAATGTTGCTGGGCTTAAATCCCTAAAGGATATTGTGTTGCTGTTGGGATAACGACTCCAATACAGATAAATGATGTGGCTTTCTTGCATACTGTGCCTCAACATCTGGGAACAATTAGAATGACCGCTTTGCTGTTGAATACCTCCACCAACCAGTTAAATTCAGAGGTAAGGGACAGAGGTGAGGTCACTGACCTTGACATTTGACTACCACAATCTAATTAGTTCATCCTTGAGTCCAGGTGGACACTTGTGCTGAATTTTAAGAAATTCCCTTAAGGCGTTTCTGACATATTGCGTTCACAAGAATGAAATGGACAGACAACCCGAAAACATAATGCCTCCGGTCACAGCTATTACCAGCACGGAGGCAAAAGTAAAACTTGTATGATAGTGCAGTGCATGTCTTGTGTTATCAGAACACTTTTTTGATATTTAGATCACTGTATTTGCATTAATGTGGCAGCAGTTGGGGAAAACGTCATCCATAAAACAGACAAACACACAGAAGCGATCAACTGCCAAATGAAAGAACTGAGTCTGGAATGCTGTGTAAACATGAACTACTGACACAGAAACAAATGCCAGGTCTGATACACAGTCACAAAAAAAAACTGATTATTGTCGTTTTTAATTAAAGGTGTTGGGCATACAATAACTCAGCTATGGTGGAACCAGCTCACAGTGGGTCAGCCAACATGTTGCCATGGAAACTCAAGAGTTTCAGGGTTGAAAAGAGGTGAGTGTGAAAGATCTTTAATGAATACTGCACTGTGTTCCCAGCCAGTGTGTGTTTACCGAAGGCTGTCGACCTGAGCAGGGAGCACCTGTTTCCTTTCTAGCATCTGTTGTGGTGGTAAATCAGAGTGAGGACAGCTCTCGTTCCACCATATTAATTAGTGCAGTGATGGACAGTCACCATGGGGATTAATAGCACGAGGAACCTGTCATCTATAACTTGTTAGAAGATACAGTATACAAATCCTTCTCATTAAGGGGTACAAAATGTCATTTACATTTTTATTGAGTTCATGTTTTGCACAGTAAAAATATAAATAGAACAAAAAGATTAAGAATGTAATCAAACAACTTCAGAATTCCACTTATTCCGAATTTTCATCTGCATCTGCAATCTTACCTGAAAGCACATCAAGTGAAACACAGCTAAATCTCTTTCCTTCCCTTGATTCAATACAGAGTACAATCAATAGTGGTAAAAGCACATTAGCTGCGACAAAGCTCAAGAAATGATTTTTTTGTAATAATGTGGTGAAATGGTTTTTGCACTTTTCCCACCTCTTACAAAAAGTTTTGACTCCTCCCAATTTTCCAAAAAGTTTCCACATATTTTTTCCTAACTGTGTCCTGATTGTTTCCTTCTATAAGAAACACTGGGAGACACAGAACAACACTCCTCCTATTTTATGTTTAGAAAATAGTTTTCATGGCTTGTTTATGAGAGATAATAACAACTGTATTTGAATGAGTATTATGCATTCCATTGACAGTTACCTCCTCCAGTTTGTATGTGATCATGGTGAAAGCTCTGAAGACGCTGTCTGTGGAGCCAGTGATGGTGATGATCCTCTCTGGACAGGAGCCCTCTGAGATGTTGACCCGAGCACTGCTCTGTTGGGACACAGGTCACTGGGTCACTTATGGTCAACTTTAAAGGTAGGGTTGGTGACCTGCATGCAGTGTGGGCAGCATGAGAGCAAGAAGACCGCCACATGGAAGAGATACCTTTTGCATGCAGCCATGGGTGGGGAGAATACCAACAGTAGTCAGCTCTAAGTGTATAGATAGGATTGTAATGCAGTTAACTGGGCATCAAAGGCCACATGCAGTGTTTGTGTTACCAAGACAGAATAAAGTCTGTGTTTTGAAAAGAGTTAGCTGGACTCCCTCTTCACTTCCCCCGCTGGAAAAGCCCAGACTTCTAGTTACTGGCTATGAGCCAGGACTAACCCAGTTTGGCCATGAACCAGGGGTCCCCAACTACAGGGGGGCACAAATCTGTGTGGGTAACAACCTTTTTGAGAAAGTTACAACTAAAAAGAAGTTGGATGCTGCAAGAAGTAAAAACAGAATGAACTTAAGTGTAGCTTTTGAACGGCGGGGACAACTGAGAGAAAAAAAGGGGCTGAAAAGTGACACCATGGTGATCATATTAATGCTGGACAGGTAATTATCAGTTTTGTTTTGTTTGGGGAGCATTTATTATTTTCCTGAAATCTGTATGTAATGATCAGGCAGTGTGTGTTGCAGTATGCGTTGTGTTTTGGAAGAGTGGCTTTGGAGAGAAGTCAGAATGAAAAGGTGGGATTTCTTCAGTTGGCTACTTTCAAAATTTGGCTTCCTCTTGATGGTTTTTCCAGAATCGCCAACCATACCTTTAAAGGAACTGTTAGACATTTTGGGAGACATGCTAATTTGCTTTCTTGCCAAGAGTTAGATGAGAAGAGGGATACCACTCACTCACGCTGTCTTCTGTCCATTAAACGTGAAGCCACAACTGGCAGCTTAGCTTAGCATAAGGACTATAAACAGGGGGAAACATGCTAAGCCTTGCTATTGGTAACAATTTTATCATGTGTCTCTCAACAGGAAAACAAATAAACATGTTTTCCAAAATTTCAAACTATTCTTTTAATCTTCTTGTGATTGGGTTTCCAGAGACATACAACACAGCACACCCAAGGGTAGGACATGATTTCTGCAGCTCAGACCAACAATCTATAGAGTTTCTCCTCTGGGCATTGCCCTCGGATGATAAATCCCCTAACCTCCGCTCCCCCCATTTTGTGTCCTTGTATTTCACATGAGTAGAAAAAAGAACAGCACTCTGATTTCCAGTCACTCCAGTGAGTCATGCTTCCACTGTGGCTTTTAAGGTCTGGGGAGAGACTGACAGGATGAGGCTCACACAGTTTGGAAGTAGCACAGGCCCAAACTGACTGGCTAGCTGGATGAATGGATGAATGATTACTATGGGTGAGCAGTTTATCCAGCAGCTCTGCCAGGTTGCATTGTGCCATGACCTCACTGTTCCTCTGTTTATCCTTCTGCCTCATAAAGTACAACATTAAACCTTAGCAGCCAGGGAAAGACGCAAAAGTGTCAGCCTAATTACTTTTTAATACAAAGAGTTAACCATGCTGCATTAGTTTGGCTGCACCCCTGAGATTTATAAAGAGAAAACAGAAGGGCAGACAGAGGAAAAGCTGTTTTAAATAGGAACAGAAGGAAAAAGGGGATTTGGTGAGAGAACAGCTAAAGGAAGGATAGTGAATGACAGAGCAAGAGGATTTAAGTTGTTATTGCCCAAAAGGCAATTTGGACAATGTACCTGTTCTATATGCTTTTCAGGCTCAAAGCTCCCAAACAGGCAGAGAGAAGTCAGCTTTATTATCTCATTATAATAAGATAGCTTGCCAGAAAGCCTGTCCAGTATTAGAGGAGCCCCTGACACTGAATTATGTTTTCTCTTGAGATGAAGCCATTGGACTTGTGGTCACAGACAAAAAAAGCATAAAATTAAAGTCGGCTCTTGTCTTGGTATAAGAAACAGGGAACAAAGTGTGGCTATTTCAGCTGTATGACATGCTGACACAGGCACACACAGCTAGTGACTCATAGGTGCACAGCAAGTAGCGTAACGTGTTAAGCAGACACGCTCAGAAACAACATGCTAGTAAAAGCACAGATGATGAAAAGTAGTAGTTAAAAGCTCTAAATTACAGACACCTTACCTCTTCTCGTATTCGTTTCACAGTCTCTCCTTTCTGGAAAATAGAAGGAGGGTAGTTTTAAACAGATTCAAATGTGCTTTGTTTTGAAAATATACACGGAATATATGTTTACATTAGTGTCCTCAACCTTTAAGTGAAACTTGGTGTTTCAAACCACAGAAGTCTTGCAATTTAGCAAAACTAATTTAATGATAGATTTTCAATTTGCCATATATATTACAGTCAGTTGTGTCCTCAGCCTTTTAAAAAAAAAGACACATCTGAAGGAAACATACACCAGCTGTAAGAACTCTGCCAGCGACAAAAATGTTTTTGTCAGACTTGTGTCATTCTGCAGAACATCCTTTGTTTTTTATTCACTCTCCTCTCTCCCTTTATGTTGGCTAAAGTCCATTCAAGCTGTCATAACTCTGTTCATACCTTCATGAGTCCACTGATGACTACAGCCTTACAAGACCATCAAAAACAGTATCATCTCACACCCTGGCTACACTGTTATTAATGCCATGCTCTAGGAACATCTATTGTTTGTCAGCCTTTGTGACCCTGGTGTAATGATGGGGAAGAGGTGATAGCTTTGAGACAGGAAGGGAAAAAAGGCTCAGAGGGCAAGTTATTAGTGCAACTATTGCGGTATTGCGGATCAAGTTTCTCTCTGTTGAGCTGCACAATATGAACAAAACTCATCTCTCTATTCTGCTCCTTTTTCTCATCACTTTCTATTTTGTATGAAATACTTTGATTTCTATAACACATAGCAGTATCCATTACAAAGCCTTTCTTTCCTGAGGCTCTATTTTTTTGTATTAATTTATGTTTTTGTTACTTCTTCTATTGATTTCCTTTGAAGGTGCAGTATTATAAGATGTTATAGCAGGAGCTTCTGAGGAAAAACACTGCAGCCAGGCCCTTCCTAACAGACACTAAAAGTGCCCACGAGAGGCCAACGGTAATGTCTTTGGAGTTCGGTTTCAACACGAGGCTTGCAGTCATTGCACTAATGTTTTGTTTGATGGATTACTGTGCTGTGTTATGGGCAGTGGATATGGTAGCAAGGTCTAAAGAGGTTGGTGTAAGGCAACTGCATTATGGGTGGGTATACTCAGAACAATCACCTGATCAGGGAATTTCATTGTTTTTATGATTAATACTTTTAATATGTGCAGCATTTTATGTAGGAGGAAAACCCATTCTCACCTTTCCTATGATGCTGCCAACCTCCTAAAACAGAGATAAATATAATCACATAATTTAAATTATGAGAAAAGCAAAGCATATAATCTTCTAATCCTAACATTTTATTATTCATCAATTCTATAAATTTGGTGTATAATTTATAAGGCAGTGAGAAATATGCTTAAAAATAGCCCAAATGCTGTAGCATGCATCCATTTATGAGGGTCACTCCCAAGCCCCCATCTCCAAAGTCCTGCTCACAGTTCATAGTGATGTGGGAGTGGCATGCAGGGAGACGCATGAACAAGGCTCTCTGAGTTCCTTTAGTGCTGCTCTGAGAGAGAAAAACAAATGTCTAAAGTTGAAATAAATTATCAAGTGTTTCAACAATATATGCTCTGGGAATGCAACACTTTGATCCTACCAGAAGAATATGTGACTCAAGTTACAAATATAGACAGTCATGCTAAAAATGTCAGTACACTGTGTCCAAGATGCATCTCATGGATACAAATAGTCACAAAATAAAAATCCTTGACAAGAAACTCAGTCTTATCATTCACTGAGCATTATGTGCCACTATTACAACTAATGCCAGGAATGCTTATACTGTTAACTGCATTGTTGACTAAATGATAATTCCCAGAGACCAAAAACATTCAGATGAACTGAGAATAAATCAAATCAGAAATAAAACACATTTCTAACAATGAATGGTCTAGTGACTCATAAGCACACATTGAAATCACAAATCTCTGTGAGGAACCTCTTCATTAGTTTGGTTGTAACAGTAATAGTGATTCATAAAGTCATAATGAAGACCACTGTGTGTACAGGATATTGGACAAAAAATGCACCAGCAGTGTCAGCGATGTCACATCTCATCAGAGCTTTGGGGTCCTAACAGACTATGGATGGCCATCGATGACTAACACACTACTGTATCGATGGCTGTCACAGGGCTGACACTTAAAAACAGACAACCACACACACCCAAACCCACTCCTATGGGCGGTTTAGAATCGCCAGTCAACATAACCCACATATCTTTGGACTGTTGGAGGACACCATAACCTACACAGGCACAGGGAGAACATGCAAACTCTGCACAGAAAGGCACTGGGTCAGCTGAGGCTTGAACCCTGAACCTTCTTGCTGTGGGGCGACATCCATTCATCCACTGCAGAACAAAATTTTGTGGCAATACATACAATAGTTTGGACCAAAGGACTATAATAGTACTTATGTAGTCAATACTACAATAAACTGCCTTTAATTTTAATAATGATTTTCAGATATCGGAGGAAAAACAGACCAGACAGAGGAATCATTTACTGTCCCATATCATGTTAACCACCCGTATTTAGTAACAATACTAACCAATTATTCTCTCCTCTTTGACTCATCAAGGCTGCATGCTTGTCTGCTATGTACATTCCAACCAGCCTACAGTGCCACTGCATGCCAGCCTGCTGCTGCAAATCCTACAACAACCACTTGACATATGTACGTTTTTGGTGAGCCATATGTGAGGAGATCGTGTTTAATTAATGAGTTTTATTTTAGATGGCTGTTCTTGAGAGACTTGCAGGCAGGTTTATTGCTTTTACTTTGTGCACAAGGCCATCACTGCTGTGCTGATTTATTTATGCACTGCAAGCTTGCTCACAACCGCTCACACAGATCCTTCTGAAGATGTCACAGAGCTTGACGGCTTGTGTCTTTTGTATTCCCCACATACCCATGGCCTACAACACCACTTGACACACCAGCCTGTCAAAATGCAGTAGTAATGGGAAAAAGTGTCATGTTGCTGGACTAGATTGCATCAAATCAGGCTTCCTCTACTTTTTAGATAGAATGCTCATTGCACAGACTTACAGAACTATCAGTCAAAACTCATCTCCATACAATTTCCATAAATACCATACAAAGCCCAGGGAACTGACTGAAGATAAACAAAAACTGCAATATTTTTTTGCTTGCTGTCAGCTACAGAAGTAGGGCCACATATTCATAACTTTAAGCTTGATCGATGCATGCTGAGCATGTCTTATCACAAAGCACATTTGTGCAACCCGTGCGCAAACTTCATTATGTTTAGACACTGAAGGGCATGGCTAAAATGTTGCCACTTAATTGCGTTAGGAGTTAATGGTTGGAGGGATCATTATGTGCTGCTCTGTGGGCTGATAACAAGGCATGTGCTCTGTGTCTTTGTGAGGGCGGTGAGCCTCTGAACTCCTCATTTCCAGAATCCCAAGCAGCAGCATTCCATGATGAACAGAGCCCCTCTGTTCCAAATTAGACCTGGTAAATCAGAACAGGGAATTAGCAAAGTGCAGAGTGTAGCACTGATAGAATACAGTCAGACCAGGAGAGAGACAGAAAACCCTTCTACTGTCCTGTTCCCAAGTCACTGACTGCATAACCTGTGTAAGATAATTCTGTTTTTATACAACTTAGGTCATATTTTTTGGCCTTTTGCAATATTTGTAATGACTATTGTAGCTTTTATTCCCTCAGTATTCACTGTTAAAGTGACACCAAAGCATATCGGGTGTTCACTGAGCTCCTCCTGCTTCATCATAGCAACAGTGAACACAACTGCTGTACATGTGGCTTGCAAGCACGGATGGATCATGAGACACCGGGTGCCTGGGCACAGACATGAAAATCTTTGTTCATTTTGCATCTCCTTTTAATTGAGTGCATTTTGCTTATCTTTTGTTGCGGTTTTTAAGTTATGGTGCTTCCTTCCTTTATGGTTGTTTTTCTGTGACGTTGTTTGGCATGTCCTTGTGCTCATTTTGCATCTTTTTGTTGTTGTTGTTTTGTGGCTGTTTTGTGAATTCACATCTATTTGTTGTTGATTGACTTTCCAGTAAGAGATATTAACAGTCACTTAACCAGGCTTCTGTTCCAGGGGCCCTGATCAGTTGGATCTGATCTGAAATATCTCAAAAACTATGGATTGAACTGAACAGAAATGAAAACTGGTACATATAACCATGGCTCCTGGAGGCTCAGTCCTACTGAATTTTCCTGTAACACCATCATAAAGATGACATTTGTGGTTTTGATTTTTTTTTTAAGTTTCCTCTGAATTGTCTATGTTATCATGTCATGTAGGTTCTGTGGGGCTCAATATTTCTATAGTTTTATATATATTTTGAATTGTGCATTGCAGGTGGACTATACTAAGCTAATTAAGTATTTTCTAATTTAGGTCTTTCTTAGAAGCACAATGGTATATTTACGTGAAGAAATTATGACAAAATGGTGAAAATAAGACCCAGTTCATTATCAAAAGATGTAATACACCAGAATAATGCTTAAGTAAATTGAGACTCGAGAGGCTTTTTTTTTTTTTTTAAACTAACATCCATGAAACAAACATCAAAAAGATGTCATGGATAAAAGCAACCAGCATACATCCCTTCACTGCCACCAGCAATGGACCATCCACTCCAGAAAGACTGTCAAGATGAAAAGGATGTTGTGCAACTCACTTGTGCACCTCTTCTGAGAGACAACCAAGTCCCTCACACAACTGGCGAGCAGACAGCTTTGGGCTGGCTAAAAGAAAACGAAGAAGGAATGAGGACATGTCTAATCTCTACAGCAAGTCAGGGGTATCGACTACCTGCTCACTAAACACAGAAGCAGAGAGGATAGGGTGTTCCCTGGGTGAGCACACATAGAGCACTAAGTGAAAGGGTGTCAATGTGTGTTCAAATGCACAGTGAGGATGAGGGGTGACAGGCCATTTAGACATATAGTATGCTCACACAACCTTCCACAGTCATGCAGCTACATTCTCTGGCCTGTGTGCACCAAAACATACAGCTGCTGGGATGAAAGTAGGCAACAGTTCACACACACAGAAAAGGATCCAAGCGTGGACAGCTGAGAAGTTCCACAGGAGGACTTTCTACAGCCATCTTCCATGAACCAACTATAACTGCTGCTACACTTCAGCAGATGGGATGATACAATGAGTGCTTCACTTCTTTAGATGATGAGAATAAAAATACGAAATATGGCATTGAATACAAGAGGGGAAAGAAATAAATTCTTCTAGGTTCCTCTTCACTAGTAATCAGTGTCCTTTAACTTGAATGAAACATGTGCACACATCCACCCGATGACACACAAGGGTACGCACAGACACACGTGTAAACAAACTTTACTGTTATTTAGAGTTTTTGTCTATGAATCTGACAAGAAGACTGTACAAAAGAGTGTAGGAGCTGTAAATAATGGCAGTGGTGGACTAATGCAGCTGTGACTGCACAGTCCACACAGCTCTGCATATTTATAGTAAATTTCTGCAGAATGATGACTTCATGCAGAGGCATCTTGATTAAATAAACTCAATTCCATTTCAATGAAATATTCAGCTGCAGGAGCTGCATGTCTGGATTAGCTTTAACCACATCCCAGCCACAAGTCATGCAGGGATTCATCAGTTATACTGCTTTATGAGCTGTGCCACAGAGTAATATTAACACAGCTGAGAGAAGGTTGTACTGTATATACAACCTGCAGCACATTTACATTTATTCTTTTTTCTGATAAATTATCTTCCATCAGCTGCAGCCACAGTAAACAAGGTTGTTTTCCCAATGACATTAAGGCCCAGTCCCATTTTCTTATTAAAAAGTTCCTTCACCAAACCTCCACTGAGACAAGAAACAAGACAGGAGGAGTGAGTTTAAGCTGTGAAACAGGAGATGCTTGAAATTAAACAGCATTGTGTTTCATCTCTCAGAGTGTCTGTCTCAGCTCTGTCATATATAATGGGATGGGTCAGGCCTCATCACCGAGATGACTGTCCTATCCTATCACCCCTGGGTTCATCTGGTAAGCGCAAGCTGCCTGTCAACCACAAGGCCCCAGAGAAGGTTATCAGAGCCCTGGGCTGCCTGCTGCTCCTGGAGCCAGCTCTGCTTCCCTGCTGCCGCATTCACTGCAGCCACTGCACCTAAATATGGCCTGACACTGATAAGACTGGCCCTAGGCAGTGTGTTGTTATTCCATAATCTGGTGTGTTTAGAATAAAACTACACGATTTTTCTGCAGTTGGTTCAAACAAGTCAGCTGAAAGGTTTTCAGTTCTAATTCAAAGCGTGGTGACAAAATGACTGATGTGACAGTTTCTGAAACATCTAAAACTCGATGAATGTATTTTTCAGCTACCGTAAATCAGAACT